ATTCAGAACCGTTTTTCATTAAATAAACCAAAATACAACGAGAAAAATCATCAATTAAAGTCATAAAATACTAAAAACCCAAAATAAACAGAGTTCGACTCAGACCCCAAATATCATAATGAACAATAGAAAAGGAAGCATCAACTATTGTGTTGACTCTATTGGAAAAGGAGGAAGGAGTGTGATTTAGTTGCTGACAAGACTGACAGTTTAAAGACTGCAGACTGGACAAAAAAAGAACCATATGCTGAAGTTTGAAGAGACTTGGATGATCCAGACGACTGTTGATTAGTTCATGAGACTCCGTGAGAGAGCACGCCACTAGTGAATGAGGCACGATCATATAGTAGAAACCTTGTGACTCACAACCCGCTCCAATCGTCTTCCCCGTACCTGGATCTTGCATAGAGACAAATTGGTCAGAGAAGGTAACAATGCATGAAAGAGAATGAATCAACTGGTTAACAGAGATTAAATTGAATGGAGTGCAGGCATATAATAAACAGAGGTAAATGTCAAATGGGGAGTTGGGTTGGCTTGCCTAATAGCACGAGCAAAGGCCTTAGTGCCGTTTAGGGGTGTAAATGAGCTGAGCTGGACTTTAGCTTAAATAGGACAGGCCGGTATAAAATATTTTCGGCCTGACCTGGTGTGTTAGCCTTGTATAAGCTCAAATTATAAGTCTGGTTTGTCCTATATTTAAAAAATAAAAGCCTTAGCCTATTTTAGCACATTAGGCATTCAATAATTAAAATAATATTATTTTATTATTCAAAATCATTAAAATAATGATTTTATTTAAAATAAATAATATGCTATAGGCTAACCTGATGTAGGCTAGGCTGTAAGTCCTTGTTAGGCCATCTGGCTCATTTACACCCTTAGTATCATCAGAAGAGTAACAAATGGTACATTATTAGAATAAATAAGTGAGGTAAAAAGATTCTTATTACCACAAAAGTGATCAATAGAACATGAGTCTCTTATCCGGGGTCCAAGGGATGATTGAGAAAGATAAGCAACATAATTATCAATATCTTGGGTAGGAGTCCGAGAAGAAACCTTTTTAAGAAGTGCCTCATAATATGCACTCGAAATGGTTACTCATCCAGTAGTAGGTGGCGTAGCATCGGGCTGAGGAAAGTTTGAAGTTGGTGGCTTTAAGTAAGGGTACTTCCTGTAGCAACGCTCTTCAATGTGTCCAAGGTTCTGGCAATAGTTAATGAAGCCTCTGTCCGCGATCACCCTGTCTACGGCCACGTCTGCGACCGCGTCCATTGTTCCAATTGGAATCATTGGCACGAGAGATGAGGGCAGTTGAATTGGTGGCTAGCACATGAACAAGTGTGGGTGCTGCTTTATCTTTAAGGTTCAAGAGGCGCTGGAAAGTCTGTGACATGCTAGGAGTCCCAGCACTAGTTAAAATATTCTCACAAACACTTTCTAACTCCTCTGGAAGATCGAAAAAGGTTACAACCATAAAGAAATGCTCCACCTACTTCTTGCACTCAGAGGCATCTGCAGCATGAGGTAACATAGCTAAGAATTCCTGCATCAAAAAACAAATCTTACCAATATAAGCCTCCATTCGAGCATCTCGTGATTTGCACAATTCCATTATTTGAGAAGCAATATAGTAAAGTTGCTTAATGTCGTTAGAGTAGAGGCATTTGGCTTCCTCCCTACGTCATAGTAGGTCTCAAAGGGGATGAAAATATCTATAACTGCCGGATCAATGGATTAGCAAAGGATGCTAAGGAGCTGGGCATCAAACTTTTCCTAATTACATTTCTAATCCTTGGGAATATAAGCAAACTTGGTCGTGAGATGTTTCTCGTGTCCCTAACCAGTAAACCAGATCTTAACGGATGTAGACCAAGTCTTGTAAGTCGCAGATCCGATTAGTTTCATCGTTGTACCAGTAGTGCTTTTGTCCTCATTATTTGATCCCTCCATCACAAATTAGATGTAAACATGCAAAAAAATAAAGAAGCAACTGGAGAATAACATGGAAGCAAGGAATCGCACGAAAAACGTCACAAAAAAATGACCAAACAGTGAGTTTTTCATCGAAATCTTCTTGTAAGATGGGATCCACAACAAACGGAGACCAGATCTGGAAAGAGGACTAGAAGACGAGTAAGATGGTGGTAGTCCGGCCCGGACAGAGCCTCACGTGTGGGAAAATGGTGTTATCGCCGGAATCTTCCACTGGCGCGTGGCTGCCCCAGTAACGGTGAGGCATGGATAAATGTGATTGCCTTCTCGAGTCGGTCCTGGTCGCACAACTATTTGTCGGAAAAGTGCTTCGACAGTGGTGAACAGTGGTTTTCGGTGATGAACGATGGTTGACGGTGGTTTTTCTGACAATCGGAGGTTGAAGACAGGCAATTGGTGACCAATTGAGGGTTAGGTACTAAAAGTGGGTTGCCGGTATGATGCACAACAAGAATGACTTGCCGGAATTACTCACGACAAGGTTTTTCTATGGAAGCGAGGTTTCCTATAACACAAGATCTGGTACCAAGTTAAGAATATGGAACTATGAATATTGTATTGTGTATTGAATTGATACAAAAATGTACAATATATAAAGACCCTAAATGGGCTTAAAGGAGAAGCTCAAACCTAACTCAAACTAAAATAAGGAAACAAATATTTACAGATAAGAACGTAATAAATACAGATAATATTTCTATTTCTAACATTCTGTAAACGATGTTATGTAAAAATTGTGAAACTAAAGGAAAAGTAGTCTATTTTGCCAATAAATTATGGAGCAAAACTTTGTTACAAATTATGTAATATCTGGTGAGAAGATACTAAACAAAACAAACGGCAAGTGAAAAAAAAAAATGGAGGAAGGATGCAAGCCCCCAAAATGGGTGATGAAGTTAAAGGTATAAGAAGAATCTATGACTCTATACCCTGTTCATTTTGGATTTTTTTTTTTATTTCTGGGTTTGTTTTGGACTTTATTTTGTTTATTTATTTTTAAAAAATGATTTTTGTATTGATAATTTGTGCGTTCACGCTTGGAAAAAGTTAAATTCTCATAAACTTGTTAGAAAATAATATTTCTCATATTATAAGAGATAAATTTTATTTTTTATACTATGCACACAAATTTTATCTCCTAGAATATGAAAATCATTAATCCCAATTTGTTAACCAACTTGCTATAAGCTAAATAGACCGGCCCAAGAGGGATACCATTGTCCTTATAAAATAATACCAATAAAAACCCTATTTATTTTGTTGTCAATTGGAACAGAGAGGAGTTCATAGACGATTTGGAAAGAATATTTACAAGAACCAAAAGTAGAAACATTTTATTTCTTCTCTATATGTTTTATGAATGTATACTTAAAGTAAATTCACTATATATTTTTATGTTTTACTTTATCTTATTCCATTTTTTATAACTGAGGAGTCATGTCCAAATCAAAAGATATTAATACAATTGAAAAGCAAACGAACTAAAAAATAAATATTTATAGAAATAGCAAGGTTAAAAAAACATATTTAGAAAAGCATACATGATATTCAAATAAAAAAGTATAATAAATTAATCAATTCTTAATAAATAAACATTCCGACATATTATATATGAACGAATAAATTATATAGTATCGTTATCCCATCATTAGATTTAGAGGTGGCAAAGTGGGCGGCCCATCCCGCCCCGCTATCAACCCGTCAAAAAATGAGCCAGTCCGCTCTGCTTTTGAAAATGGGCTGAAAAACTCAGCTCGCCCCACTCCGTTTGACGGGTTTGGCGGATTGGCCCGCCAGCTCGAGCCTATTTTACATTGACCTGCCTCGACTCGTCAAAAAATGAGCCCACCCCGCTCCGTTTGATGAGTTAAACGAATTGGCCCGCCGAGCCGAGTCCGTTTTGTCCGCTATAATTAGATTCATTACCCATTAGTATTAAGCAAATAAGCAGCAAGAGACAACTGATTTGAAACATTTCAGTATCACAAGCATGGGTTTTCAAATTTTTAGATTTTTATATAAAACAAACTTTTTGAACGATTGTGATAAGCTTCGTTAATTTAAAATATGTCTTGCTTTTGTTTTATAATTTAAAAAGGAGCATAATCAATTTATATATGTAAGAATAATAAATTCTAAATTTAATATTTAGCATTGATTTACTTGCACTTAATAATTATAGTTTATTGAATTACATTTATTAATTAATTATTAATTTTTTAAATTATTATTGCCTCTTAAAAAAAATATGTAATATGATATATGTAAAAAAAATATCTAATGCATCTAAGCCGCCTCATATAAATAATACATTAGAATAGTTAGATATAAGAAAAATTAAAAACTAAGATAAAAAGTAGGTAGGTGTGCCATAATATATACGGTAGGTAAATAAAAAGTTTAATACTTTTTATATCAGAAAAAAATATTTCTGAAATTACTGCAGATAAGTTATCTGTATTTACTCGTAAAATGATGTCATTTTGTAATTGAAATATTAAAAAATTATAATTATAAATACTATAATAATCCTGAAATAAATTAAAATTACAAAAATACTTTAATTTTCGTCTCATATCGTATTGGACTTACTGCAAATAACTTATCTCCCGTAACTAATCTTTTTAATATTATAGAAAATAAATTTATCTCCTGTGTATAGTAGTGAGTTCTAATAGGTACATGAATACCTGAATTCACACTCGTATAGTAAATTCTTTTAGCCTGGATACCAATCATAGAATAAATTATAAATAAAAGGGAAGAGTGTGTTATTTTAAAGGATGTAAAGATTTTAAAGGAAGTAAAGTTGTGTTATTTTAAGAAAAAGAAAGAGATAGATAAAAAAAAAAGAGAATTGACAAAAAAAATAAAAATACGAGTCCCATTTTTTTGTGAGAGTAAAAAAATATAAATATAAGTTATATTAAAGAGTTTCCTAAATAAAATTGTGGAATGCGAAATGTGAGCTTAAACTTTAAAAAGCAAGAAGGGTAGAGTCTTATCCATAACCACGAGGAAGGACAAGATCGAAGACTCACCTTTGAGACACAACACAACACAGTATACAAAAGCAGGAACAAGAAAATGGCTACGGTCTTTTCTGTAGGTTCAGGATGTTCTTTTCTTCTTCACAGCAGGGGCTTCTCCTTATTACCCAAAGGGCCACTCCTTCACCTCAAAAGGCCTCTCTCTGCTGTTAACTGTGTTGCTTCTTTGGGAACTGAGATATCAGTGCCTGCAGCGGTTGACACCTTCTGGAAGTGGCTGAAGGAAGAAGGTGTTGTCTCTGGCAAGACACCAGTGAAGGCTGTTGTGGTGCCAGAAGGCTTGGGACTGGTTGCACTCAAAGACATTTCAAAGAATGAGGTTGTTTTGCAGGTTCCCAAGAGGCTATGGATAAACCCAGATGCAGTGGCAGCTTCAGAGATTGGGAATTTGTGCAGTGGGTTGAAGCCATGGTTGGCTGTTGCACTTTTTTTGATAAGAGAGAGGTCAAGGGATGAATCACTTTGGAAGCATTACTTCAGTATTCTGCCTGAGGAAACTGATTCTACTATATATTGGTGGGCTTCATTTGCTTTGCTACTATAACATGCTTAATGGGACTTTTTTTTTTTTTTTTTTTTTCTCTCATATGTTTCAATTGGTAATTGGTTATTCCAGTGCAGGTCAGAGGAGGAGCTCTCGGAGCTTCAAGGTTAGTCATGTCAATGTTTTAATGCAACCCCATGTAAATGAATGATAAAAAAAATTGTGCTTTGGAGTAGTTTCTTGTTTCTTATATGGTTTATTTTTGGAAATGATTTTAGTGGTGTGGTCATTTAAAAGTTGCCAATTACCATGTTTGCAATTTTAGCATTTCACCACAACATGTACCTGATTGAACTGATTTGTGGTAGGTACTCAACTTCTGAAGACAACACTGGGTGTGAAAGAGTATGTGAAGAATGAATTTCTGAAATTGGAAGAAGAAATCATACTCCCTAATAAGAAGTTTTTCCCTTCTCCTATAACACTGGATGACTTCTACTGGGCATTTGGAATTCTCAGATCAAGAGCATTTTCTCGCCTTCGCAATGAAAATCTAGTTGTGATTCCACTAGCGGACTTGGTAAGGTCCTTTTCATTTTTCTATCTTTCTGTATCCTGCAGTATGAGGGATAAAAAAGAGAGAGATAAACATAAAGGTATAAACTGTGTATGATATTCAGAGTAGACATCATTTTTCTTGTTTTTCTTTTAGCTGATTTTGTCTTGTCCAGTCAATGTGATCTTCACCTTGCATAAAAAAAAAAGGAAAAAAATGACGTTTTCCCAATTCAATTTCTGGATCAGATAAACCACAGTGCCAGTGTAACTACAGAAGATCATGCTTATGAAATTAAAGGAGCAGCAGGCCTTTTCTCTTGGGATTACCTATTTTCCCTAAGGAGTCCCCTTTCTGTCAAGGCAGGGGAACAGGTGAAGTGTTGTTGCCTCCTCTTTTGTTTCTTTTCATGTTCCATTTATACACAATATCCCCTTAAAATAATGAACATATCTATGTCCATCCAAGGGATTTTCTCCAATATGAAGATCATTGTATCTAAGAAGCTTATATATGACCTAGCCAGCTCTTATGTATCAAACAAAAAGAAGCATATTGTGAAATAAGTGCATCAGTGCTAGAAAGTTGCAGTAGTACTTCACAGCTCATTTATATTTAGAGCACAAACTAGCTTTTTCATGGTGACAATTTCATGCTTTTCCATTCATGGTCACCTTGAAAACCTTGTAGTTGGTAACATAAATTACAATCATAGTATAGTTACATATAACAATTGAAGGAACTTTTTACTGCAGATATACATCCAATATGATTTAAACAAAAGCAATGCCGAGTTAGCTCTGGACTACGGTTTCATTGAACCAAATGCAGACCGTAATGCATATACCCTGACACTGGAGATATCTGAGTCAGACCCCTTTTTTGGTGACAAAATAGACATTGCTGAGTCCAATGGTTTTGGGGAGACAGCATACTTTGACATCTTCTACAACCGTCCACTTCCACCAGGGTTGCTTCCATATCTGAGACTAGTAGCTTTAGGTGGTACTGATGCTTTCCTATTGGAATCACTATTCAGAAACTCCATCTGGGGTCATCTTGAATTGCCTGTGAGCCGTGACAATGAGGAGCTAATATGCCGAGTGGTTCGAGAGGCCTGCAAATCTGCCATTGCTGGTTATCATACAACCGTTGAAGAGGTATGACTCTGCATATTAAAGGATTTCTTTATAGGTATCCATATATTCCATCAAGAGGATAACCAAGATGAGATGAGGTTTGGTGTATATAACCAATATATCTAAAGTAACTACATTACATCTTACAATGGTATATGCACTTTAAATTGTGAAAATTTTGAAGCTGATTGAGCTAAAGAAATAACTGAACAAAGCATGTGAATGGCAGGATCACAAGTTGAAAGAAGCAAATCTAGATTCAAGGCTTGCAATAGCGGTTGGAATAAGAGAAGGGGAGAAGATGCTCCTGCAGAAAATTGATGAGATCTTCAAGGAGAAGGAATTGGAAATGAACCAATTAGAATATTATCAAGAAAGGAGGCTCAAGGACCTTGGACTTTGCGGAGAAAATGGTGATATCCTTGGTGACCTTGGAAAATTCTTTTAATCTCGGAGGCAATAGTTGCACTCGTTAAGGAGACACTACTGTCTAGTGTCTACATTTCGGAAGGACGAGAAAACAGAACACTTCGGTAAATCATAAATGGAATCTTCCAAGATGAATCCATACTATGCATTCAATCAATCTTTAAAGAGGATCATAGTCAAGTTTGACTCAGCCCCATTTATTGAAACCCATTACTTGACTACTGCTTGTACAGAGAAAACTGTAATACATGAATTACTCTTCTGTACCGGTGATAATTTATAAAACAGTTGACCGTTGGGATTGTAACGAGAATGAATTTCGGAATGCGTGATGTGAGTCTTAAGGGAGCAACATAAACTATTATTATAACTATGCTGAACTTAAATTTGGAAGAAAAAAATAATTAATTAATGGTAAAAATGAAGGTACAGCTTTGCAAGCTTCAATAGAAGCTGATATTTCTTTCTCTTTCTCTTTCTTTTTCTCTTTTCCTTTCTTTTGCATGGTTTCCTACAAAATCATGTGTACATACTTAAATCTCATAGACCTTATGCTAATCTGGATTCTTGAACACAGCACTCGAGCTGCCTAATGGAAAGGAGCAAATTTTAGATTCCTCTTGCAAACTCATGGTACTTGACTAGAGTTACGAGGACCTAGCATGTTATCACACTTTGTTCCCTCACAAAAGCACTCATAAGGGTTGGCATAGAAATAATCCTCCTCCTTTGGCTTGTCTACATTAACTCTACGATAAGTTGGCTGTCCCATTCTCTTTTCATGAACCTGTCGCACAGCATCTGCAAACTCATTCCATCGAAGGGTTCCATTTTGCTGCATATCAAGCAATCCTACAAGTTTTTTCCGATCCAATAAGATGGATTTTTCAAAACCAGAATACCTGCAAGAGAACTAATTAAAAGTTTTCTATAAATTTTCGTCAAGGCTGCTTTTAGCCTTCTATGTAAAATCAAATTGCAACAAGCAAGAGTACATACATACCTGCGATGGCCTTCCACCAGTTTTGCCATGTTCCCATCATAGGAAGGAATAAAGGTGTTACTGGCTACTGAAACCATAAAATCCAAAGCTGCCATTTGCGATGAATGGTTCTGAAACTGCTGCAACTCATCACGGGCCAGCAATGTCTCTTTTTTTACCTAAATTAAAGTAGAATAATTTTAAAAGGTGTGAAGAAACTATGACGACGATGAGAATATGAAATTTCTTTCAAAAGTATTTAGTTGAATCTGCCATATAATATGTGATACAAATTGTAAATGGACAATTTTGCATAATCCCCAGTAATCCATTATAGCACAAGTCAGAATCATTCAGCAGCAGTATACAACATGAAATATAGAAGATTCAAAATATAAACAGAAAAAGAAGAGGGAAGGGAGGTGGATATAAATGGTGAACTCACAATTCTTGGAAATTTAGCTCGGAGTTGTGCAAGTCTACGTTCACCACCATAAATCTCACCAGCGGCAAGATAGACCTGTGTCTCCCTATCAAAACCTAAGGCTTGCAAAATTAAGGCTGCCTCCTCTGGTGTCAAAGGACAGAGACCCTGTGATCTTCTCTCTTCAGACACTATCTCCTTTTCTCTCCACGAAGGGAATTCATACCTGAATTACACAAGCAAGACAAAAATTTTACACTAGATAGATCTCTCTTTCATCAGCTCGTTACAAATAACTTCAACAGCAAGATTCTTAATTTTTTATGAAGTGAAGGTAATTAATGTGTGATTGTGAAAATATGCCAAATCCATTATATCGTGTAACTCAAACTATTGATCCACTACTCTCCTCCAAATAAAAGGTGGAGCCACCGGCACAAGCAACTAGCATCTAGGAGTCTCTCAATAAAATATGTTCATTTCTCATTTTGGATCTATGATAGGACAGGAGATATAACTAACTATTTAGAATCGATAGTAATTTATCTATGATAAAAAATATATTATCATGATCTGTATCTTCCCAAGTAACTGTCAGATAAGAAGCCAATATCTCATAAAAACCTATACACAAATATGTGTAGCAAAACATGGAACATAAATGACCTCATCCGCTTGAGCTCCTCAGCTTCTTCATTAGTGCAACCATGAGTACAACCAGAGAAAGCCAACATGTCCATCTCATATCTCAGATGCAATGCCACAAAAGGTCCCTTCTCACTGAGTATCCGAATCAGTTTTTGCCCCAAATTCTCAATTTGAGGAGTGAATTTAAGTGCCTGGTAATTAACACGACACCTAAGTTTCTGTAGATCAAGTGGGAGACCATTATTTGCGAGACGTGCATCAGTTTTGTTGAAGTGTACCACCTTATGCTTGGCAAAAAGTGGCAGAATCTGCAGTGCCGAGTCAATAGCATTGAATCAAACACAAGAAATGTACTACTAAAAATAAGGGAGGGGAGAGAATATAAGCATAATTTAACTTCCACACACTCGAAGTGCTATTTTGGAACCTACTTTGGGTTTTGCCACAACAGAAGCAGCTCATTTTAGTTACTAAAATAGTAGAAGCCATCCATATCTTAAAATTGTATTTTTCTTCATACAACTGATAGTCATTTCAATTGATATGTTGAAATCCTCCATTCAAATTGTAATATATTTTGATAATATAACCAATAGATTCCACTTCCTACAACCTTCAACATCTGTCTTTCTGTATCCCTGTATTTTCCTTTCCATCTGTCATTTCCTCTTTGAAAAACAAGTCAGCAATAATGCATCTAGTAATTTGCAGATTACCAATTCTCAGCTGATAACTGCCAGCGCAGATGATGAAGAAATCAATAACTTTGGGAAGGGGGAGGGGGGAGGGGAGGGAGTGCCAGGCATTTCAAATCAAATCTGCAAAAACTAGTTGACATTCATAGAGAGAAAAAATAAATTTAAAAGAAAAGTTCTCACACGGAAGAAAACCTTAGCTAGTCATTGTCCCCAATTCGCCCTCCCATTTTGGAAAGGTACAAAAGTAAAGAGGCAATTTACTATCAAGACAATTATTAGAAATTCTGCTGAACTCCCATTTTATATACAATTTCCCACTGCTTTTAAGTCTAGGCACATCTAATAACAAGATCAAGGGTACACGTCTACAACACAACTAGTAATTAGTAACTAAAAAAATGATTCAGAACAGATAACCATAATAATGGATGAATGAAGATAACGCTCCCAATTAATTTGGAAACGATACAATTGCTGGCATTTACAATCCGCCTTACCATCATCATGTAAGTAATAGTTTGAAAAAGATGACCATTACATACCTTACAATAAAAAAAATTAACTGTCCTAAGATATTCTCAAAAGATCCCATTTACACAAAAAATAACAAATTAGGGAAATGTTAAGCCACCAAAAAAAAAAGCACTGTATTATTACAGTAAAATTAGCCCCTCAAAATCAACCTAAGCACAAAACATGGCCTTCCCTTAGACTGAAAAGTTAAAGAGGCCATACAGTCCTAACACTCTAAATGTCAATGTCTTAAAACCTAAGGTGAAGAATCATTCATCAATCATTGTATAAAACCATAAAATGTCAAACAAAAAAAAAAGCTCGATTATAAATATTACATAGTTTTTAGCTAAATGCAACTAATAACATCTCCAGACCTGCTCCAAGTAATACTTTTCATTTGACCAGCTAATAGGAGGCATCTCCAGGGTGGAGAATCCATTTTCCCTACTAAACCTTTTGGGCACTCTTTTCACTATTCGAACTTCATCTCGTAGAGAATGAATGAAATGTCTCACATCAAAAATGTCCTCGAAATTACTGCAAAAAGAAAACTACTAAACTTTAAAATGACAAGGAAGCTAAATTAGAGAACACTCAGAATTTGTTCAAAACAAAGTACTTACCTAGGGTCTGCCCAAAAGGATTTCTTATCAAGCTCTGGAACCACCAATGTGAGATTCAAAAGTCGAGCAACTGTCACCATGTCACAAATCTGAAATGCCAAAACTGCTAAATGAACTTTTAAGCTTATCATTGAATAGAAACAAAGTAATGGCAGAATAGGAAGTACAAACCGCTGCACGCATTTGATTCAAGCCCCCATTGCAGGATACTCTTAGAAAACCATTACTTGTATAATTTCCTGCAAGGTTTCAGGTCATAAGGCTTTTATATTTGACAAAAATGCGTAAGAAAAGAATGGTACAAATAACAAATAACACCCTATCTACGAAACCCATCTATTTATACATGTGTGAAGGCCTATAATGGCACATCAAGTCATTTTCCAATTTCAGTAGGTTTACACCAAGGTTCTGCATTAAATACTTATCTTTTTGCCCGAGTTATGAATGAGCAAACAAGAGATATTCAAGACGAGGTGCCATGGTGCATGCTATTTGTAAATGATATTATACTTATTATCGACAAAACCATAGCTGGTGTTAACACTAAACTGGAATTATATATACAGGATTTACATTAAGTAGAAGAAGTAACACTGAATACGTGTGTTGTATATTTTCCAAACCCACATCAATAACTATTGAAGCAAACAATAACTTTGCTGATACAGAAAGCACTTAATATAAGTAACTACGAAGCAAAGAAAAACTAACTTGCGGGAAGAAAAGGGGGAGGGTGTTGAGCAACTCCATTTTCTGCTTGGAGAGGACTTTGAGTTTTGTGATATATTCGACTAGTAATCCCAGAAATGAAATGTGAATGCCGTAGTTCAGTCACTGTAACTAGCTGAACCAGACATGTCCACAGCACAATGCTTGAACAAACTCGAATGAACCAAACCCGCAAACGTGTCCTTGGAATCACAGGAGCCTGAAGCTTATCGTCACACCTCACCTGAATACCCTCCGATCTAACCTCCATTTCTCTGCCACACACCTCATTGCCGCTTCATCACCATAACCTTCACACAGTTTCCAACAATCCCACAACAACCAAATCAACACAACACCCCATACACACACAAAAGAAAACAAAAATAAAGAAAGAAAAGTCATCATTCATGCACAGTGCATTGCAGAATTAGTAACCCCATGAAATTGCAGACCTACCTCAGACACTGTTTGCGGCTTATGAAGAAATCGAAATCGACCCAGAATTGAATTTGAAGCGGGCGAATGCGGGTGGGGCTCAAAAAATGAACTTTCTGCGTATAATTTCTTCAACAGAATTTGAAGCTCTTCAAACAAAGTGAAAAAAATAAAATAAATAAAAAGGTTGTTATGGAGAAAGAAGAAAGGAAGCTAGAAAGGGTAAAGATGCAAGGGAGATGAAGAGAAAGTATCAAATCCGAACAACCAAACACAGAAGGCTCATGCATTTCCATTCCTTTTTAGGAAACACCATTTTTTTTCTCTCTCCTTTTTTTTTCTCTCGACAATTTCAATGGAAAGAAAATGTATTTTTCCCCCTAAAATTTATTTAGGGGAAGAATCAGATATTATCTTTATTTTTTTTCATGTTTATTTTATTTATTTATTTTCAACATTATTATATTACAATTTCAATTGACCTTCCTTCTTTTTCTATGATTTTACAATTTGAGATTATGATATAAAAATATTAAAGAGAAGTAAATAAAGTAAACATAAAAAATAAATTTAGACACAATATCGTATGATTCATTCAAATATTCAACTTTATTAAAATATAATAAGAAATTAAATGAAAATTAAAGAGGAGAAATGAAAGATATAAGTAAAGGTGTATGCATTGTGATTGAATTAGTTTTTTTTTTTTTTTTTGGGTGGTTAATTGAATTAGTTCATTTCATGTAAGAAAAAAATGAAAGATTTTTCAAAAGATAAAATAAAATATCTGTAAAATAAACTGCTACAATCATTCATTTCTAAGATTATTAGGATAAGTTAAAACTTATTAGCATACAATGCAAACTCTTGACCTTATTATTGGATCAACACAGAACTATTCCCACTAAAACGGGAGTTTTAATCAACAATTGTAAATGATATTATAATTTAATTCATACATTTTATAAAATGTTGGAAAAGCAATGGGAAAAATGGTTGTTATTCAATGCAATCTCGGTTGCAGGACACATAGTAAGATGTTTTCTTTGTATGAATAACAAAAACATTCGACACAATTCTCTCTCCCTTTATTGCTTATCAATTTATTCAATAATATAGTAGACTTACGAAACTCATGAAAACAAAATATCCTCTAAATTTCACCCAGAACAAAAGTTAAAATGAAGTCTACTTAAAAATGTAGCGCACAATCAATCCAATAATCACAACATAGTTGTAAAAGAGCTGAAAAAAATAAAGATAATGAGCATATTTCATATGTAGAAACTAAAAAACTATTAGAGTTGTTAAATATTAAGGGTTTCTATGATAATTTGTTGTCCATTGTTGAGCATATTGCGACTTAGGGATTCATATCTCAAGCAATGCATCATCTTATCATATCCGCTTCTAATATTGATTAACCAATTATTAAGTATTGCCCTTAAACCTAATCAATCAATGAGTTAAGTGGTCCAACACACCGAAGAAAAAGCAAAGGATTGAACTATATTCTTATTTTTTATGGTAGCTTTCTTTAATTCAAATTCATTATTTGAGTTGGATGTCCGACTAAAGATCTATTATTAACTATTAATGCGCATTTAAAATAGTAATAAATTTGTTTTTTACTCATGAAACTTTGAGCTCGTGTATTTTATGTTATTTTGCTAGCGTACTGCTTTGAAGTTGTTTATATTGGATGAAAATGAAATCATATCTATATTTGAAATGAAGAGATGTATCATTCTTATGAAATTTTAGTGAAGTCTTAATCTCTAACTTCTCAAGGAGGGGACCGAAAGCTAAGAAGTTAAGATTAGTTTACAAAATTAATTGTAATCGAAGGATTTTTATGCATATGAAATATTTGTTTTATTCAAAAAAAAAATTATAATCACTTTGAAATTCATGGATCAATGTTTGTCAAAAAGGAGAAAAATGCAACACCATCCCCTCAAAGTATGTGAAGAGATTATATAATATTTGTTCTGGACTGATCGGATAGTCTTGTCTGACTGTCTCGATTAACCGCCTAACAAGACGAAGAGCACTTAAAATCTAAGGGCACTTGGACCCTCATTACATGTGTCTCCCTCACGCATCCCATGCACATGTGCCCCTTCCACATTATGAGTCATGTAATCTCCCGTCATCGTAGGGCTTATAAGACTACAAACAATTATGAAATCACATTTCCCTCACTTAAAGAGAATCTTCCCCACTTTATAAATAAGGTATCACACCTAAGGCATCTTCTTCTCCATTGCTTCCCTTGTAGAAACTCTGTCAAATTTCCTACTCATTAGCCATAATTGCACCCTATTCATCTTTTTATTTACATGATTCTCAATTCACCTGAGATTTGGACAGTGGCTCCACAGTCTTCAACCATTTCATTGCCTCTTCGGTCATAGTCAAATTGAAATAGTTCACCCAATTCAGGAGATATCCTACTATTTTTACTTTCTGTCAAGTTCAATATCTATATGTAAAATATTTAGAAAAAGAATATACTTTAGTGTTAGTGAAAAATTGCGACAATATTTATATGATTAGACGGAGAAAAAGATCAAGATGGACACATGAACTTTGGACCATTGAATAGTACCTGATGAAAAATAAATGTTTCAAAGCTTGACCACATACGAGTTGCATCACATGCATTATGCTTAATAATTGTAAGATGTTACATTTCCCTAAAAGCAAGAGCACCATTATTGGCTTTCAGCTTTTCTCGCATTAATTCCACGATAATAATAAAATATTATCATATAATATTATCTAGCTCGTGAGTAGAAAGAATAAAAAGAAACGGATGATCGAGGAGGATTGTTACCCATTGTTTGAGATAACAAGAGATATAGAAAGGCTCGTGCGCATAATCTTTTTTCTCATTGTTTGTGGGCATTTGCTTGGTCCAAGTGTACAAAGTGAGTTACATACATACCCACAAAGGGTGAATGTGGGAGATGGGCTTGACTAGGCTTACTTTGTGCTAAACTATGGTTTAATCTTGATCGGGTCCTCTAGCATGCCTTCAATGAAGATTTGTATTTAGGCAACCCCTCCTATCCCCCATTGACTCTAAGAACTATTGAATTTATGCGAAAGCGATTTAAAATCTAGTATATTAATATGCTTAGTGAATCATTATCGTCTCACAAACATACAGGGCATACCTCATGAAGTGCAGAGCTTTGAGCAACTTCCTCGTGTGTAAAGTTGTCTACATCATAGCACGATCAATCTTCTTGAGTCTGGCTAGTGGTGGTAGATCTTTCTGATTATCTCTCAAGGGGGATAAGACTGGTGTGTTAGCACTCACTATCATGGAGATTACCCCCGCCTCTGCAACCACCAAAGTGAGACCTGTTAGGCTAATAACTATAAATGTAAAATATATATGTTCCAAGAAACCCTAGCCCTAAAATAAATAGGTTCTAAGTTTTCTTGGGTTCTTCTTACATATTATGTACGGACTTTAGTGAAAGAACAAAACCCAACATTGGTCAAACCACAATTTCTTCCGTTGTTGTCCCTCTCTAGTTCTCTTTTTCTCGCCTCCTCAATCCTGAAGCAGACTTTGCTTGATTCCACAATGGCGGGTGATTCCTCTCCATATTAAAATTTAATGTCCATGGCCAAGTTGGCGGGGCAAGCCTTTTCTGCTTGTAGATTTGGTTATTCTAAGTTTTTTTCGACTCAATCGATTAAGTTGGGTCTTGCTTTAAACTTCTCTTTGATTTGTTGTGAGATTCTTAACTCTATTGATTGTGCTTGTAACTAGGGGTGCTAAACAAACCAGGGGCTTTTCAGGAGCCTTTGGCTCGGCTCGTGAAGGCCTGAGCTTACATGTCTAAATTTGGTTGTTGGCACCAGGCTTGGACTTGTATAAAAGCTTGTTTAATAAAAAGGCCTCATGCTCCAATTCAAAAGCTCGACCTTAAAGCCTCTCAGGCTGGTCGAATATATTATTTTTTATTTATATTTTATATTTTGTATACTACTTGTAATAGCTCTCTCTTTCTCTTCAATCCATTTCACCCCATTTTATTGGTTAAACAGACTTTTTGAATGATTTTGTTCTACATTATGTTGTTTGGATATTGTTGAAATGAGATAATATTTGCTGAGTTGTACAGTTGTTGGAATTTTAATCATTGATTACACAATTACATAATCATAGGAGATTTGTATTAAATAGATTAATTTTCTTATTTGCAGTTGATTGACATAATCACAGGAGTTTTGTACATTGTCTAGGAATAATATTTGGATAATTGATACAGGTGCTTCTGATCATATGATTAAAGATTCTTCCCAGGTTTTCAATCTCTGTAATTCTTCACAATCCGTTATTTCCACTGCCAATGGGGGTACCTAAAAAATTACTGGTCAAGGATCCTTAACCCTTTCTGGTAGCTTATTTCTAGACTCTGTGTTGGTTGTACCCTCTCTTGAATACAACTTACTCTCTGTGAGCCAATTAACTTCAAAGCTTAACTGTTCAGTAACTTTTTTCCCTCTCACTGTGTTTTTCAGGACATTCCCACTCGGACTACTCTTGGTTATGGTGTTAGACGTGGCCAGCTATACTTCTTGGAGGTCCCTGATCCTAGCCATCCTTCTTTGGCTACTACATGTGCAACAACCGATCCAGAACAGTCCTGTGCTACCATTTGGCTTTGGCATCGAAGACTTGGTCACTTTCCTTTAGTTATCTGAAAAAGTTATTTCCTCGGTTGTTTTCCCCTTTGAATAATGCTGATTTCAAATGCAGCATTTGTGAATTGGCCAAGAGTCACAGAGTTCTTTATTTTCCTAGTACTA